GTGTGTGTGTGTGTGTGTGTGTGTGTGTGTGTGTGTGTGTGTGTGTGTGTGTGTGTGTGTGTGTGTGTGTGTGCGCGCGCGTAGAAATGAGCGACCGGGGAGAAAGTCAGATGCTTGTGTGCAAGGGGGGACGGATCCGAGTGAAGGGGAGAGAAGATGGGCACGCACCTCCACCGGTCAAGCAGAAGGATAAGCGCACGGGCCACGTGCAGAACCTCGACACGGGCGCGGGAAAGAGCCCGCCGAGGGAGGGAGTCACTCGCACGAGAAGCCCCCGAGGCCCCGGTCGACCCGGTGGTCCGGTACTCCGGCAGGTCGCCAGAGTCGGGCCCGAGCCCAGAGCCAAAGCGGCTGCCGCCCAGAAGCCGGTCGGTTTCCAGCGACGAGAAGAAGGTGACCGGGGCCAGCTCGCCGGCGGTGGATTTCTCGAAGGCCGAGGAGGAGGCGGCCGCGGAGACCACACTTGGCGGCAGGTCGCCCGGCACGGTGTCCATGGGAATGGCCTCCCGCCCGCCGTAGGGACCAGCCCCGACGGCCGGGCCCGGCGCCGGCAGGCCAAGCTGCTGCACTTGCGACTGGCCCCCGGCCAACGCATGCGGATCTGACAAGCCATAGATGCCACCCCCGTTGAAGGCGGCCCCGGGCCCGGGGCCGCCGGCCAGGAAGTCCAGCCCGCCCTTTCCGGCAGCCTGCTGCTGCTGCTGCTGCTGCTGCTGCTGCTGCTGCTGCTGCTGATGGTGGTGGCCGAGGTCCAGGATCTTTTGCTGGGCTTCGCGATTTTTGACACGGAGCTGCTCATTCTCCTGCTGCAGGACCTCCAACTTGGCGAGCCACTCGGCCCGGGCACGCTGGAGCTCGGCCTGCGCAGTTCGCTGGCTCTCGGCCAGCACCTGTGTCCGGATGCCCGCCAGCTCCTGCTGGTGCCCCGCGCGCAGGTCGCCCAGGGCCTGCGTCAGCCGAGCCACCTCGTCGGCACTGGCGGCCGTGGCCGCCCCGGCCGCAGAGGCGTCCGCCCCGGCGGAGGCCACCGCCGAGCCGGAGACCGCCGGGACTTGCGCCGCCAGCGTCTGCAACTGGCCATTGGTGGCGTTCAGCTGCGCCTCCAAGCCCGAAGCATGATCCCGGGCCGAGGCGAGCTCCGTTTGCAGGGACAGCGCGCGGTCCCGCTCGCGGGTGATGTCCGCCTGGAGGCGCGCCTCGGCGGCCGCCTGGTCCGACAGGTTGGAGCGCAGCTGATCGCGTGCACGCTCGGCCTCATGCAAGAGGGCCTGCTGCTGGGAGAGCCGGGTCTCGGCGCTCTCGAGAGCTTGCTGCAGCTCGGCCACACGGCTGACCATCTGCGCCTGGAATTGGTCCTGCGTTTGGAGAACCTCGCTCAGCTGGGCGGCCGAATCCCCACGAATGGAAGACACCTCGCTGAGGGGAAGCCATATGGCAAGGTCAGTCACTGAATCCCACCAGGCGAGGCCCTGATCTGGTGTGTGTGCGTGTGCGCGTGTGTGTGCGCGCGTGCGTGCATGCGTGCGCGTGCGTGCGCGTGCGTGCGCGTGCGTGTGTGCATGTCTGACCATGCATCTGCATCGAGACAGGGAGCGCACGCACGCGCACGGGAGATCCATGCACATTGGAACATACCTCTGGTGGGCCAGGCGCAGCTCGGCCAGAGCCTGTTCGGCCTCATTGACCCGGGCTTCGGCCGCGGCCAGGCCCGCCGCCAGCTGGGTCTCGCGCTCAGAGGAGGCCGCCTGCTGGGTCGACGTCAGCTCGCGGAGCTGGGTCAGGTGCTGGTCGCGCTCCTGCTCGGCGGCGCTCAAGCGTGCCGACAGATCAGCCGCCTGGGTGGTGGCGCTCGCGAGGGCCGCCTGTCCTCGGACAGCATGGGTGGGCGGGTTAGCGAGCGAGAAGGGAAAACCCCCACAGGAAGGAAGGCAGCAGAAGCCCCACCGGGAAGAGGGGCGCATGCGGGCGTTACCTGGGTCTCGGCAAGCTGACCGGCAGCCTGTTGGGCCTGCACGGTGAGGGCATCAACCGATGCGCGGAGCTCCTGCACCACATCCGACTCGTGCAGTGCCGAGGAGGACAGCTGGGTCAGGAGGAGATCCCGCTCGGCGGCGGCACCATCCCGCTCCTGCACCAGGGCCGCCAGTTGGGCGGCGTGTGCGGCCACAGCGTCATCCCGCTCCTGCGCCAGGGCGGCCAGCTGGGCCGCATGGCCGGCGGCCGCCGCCTCCAGAGCCGGGACCGTCTGGCGAAGGTGCACCACCTCGGCCTCGAGGGCTGCATGCGCGTCAGCACGGCCGGCCAGCTCGGCCTGCAACGCGGCCAGCTGGGTCTGGGACTCCTGGACCGAGGCCTGCTGCGTGTCCAGCTGCCGAAGCAGCGCCTCGTGCTCGGCCTGTGCTGCCGCGATCGAGGCGCGGGCTTGCTCCAATTCGGATCGGGCATCCGCCAGCTGCCGGCCGAGCTCCGATTGGTCGGACTCGCCGGCCGCGCGGGCGGCAAGCAGCTCCGACTGGGCGGCCGCCAGCTGCTCGGCTAGCTGCGTCTGCTCAAGCTTCGCGGATGACTGCAGGGCGGCCAGCTCCGACCGAGCAGCATCCAGCTGCTGGGAAATGGCCGCCTGAGCCGCATCGGCAGAGGCGCGGGCATCGGCCAGCTCGGCCCGGACGCCGGCCAGCTCACCCTGCGCGGTGGCCAGCTGCTGAGCCAGCTCCGACTGGCCGGACTCGGTGGCGGTGCGTGCGGCGGCCAGCTCCGCCTGGGCGATCTCCGCCTCGGCACGGGCGGCCGCCAGCTCGGCGCGCACGCTGGCCAGCTCCGCCTCCCGGGAGGCCAGACCATCGAGGGCGCCCCGGGTGGAGTCCTGCGAGGCACGGGCCTCGGCCAGCTCGTCCCGAGCGACCTGCATCGCCGCGCGAGCATCCGCCAGCTCGGCCTGCGCACCGGCCAGCTCAATCTGCGTGTTGCTCAGGCTGTCCTGCATGGCGGCCAGACTTTGGGCCAGCTCAGACTGGCCGGATTCGCCGGCAGCATGGGCCGCGGCCAGCTCCGACCGGGCAGCAGCCAACTCCTGAGCCGCGGCGGCCTGAGCCGCGGCGGAGGCGGCCCGAGCATCAGCCAGCTCGGCCTGCGCGCTGGCCAGCTCAATTTGCGCGGCGGCCAGCTCATCCTGCAGAGAGGCCAGGCTTTGGCCCATCTCCGAATGGCCGGACTCGATGGAAGCACGGGCACCGGCCAGCTCACTCTGTGCCGTCTCGGCGGCGGAACGAGCATCGGCCAACTCGGCCTGCGAGCTGGCCAGCTCAATCTGCACGGTGGCCAGCTCATCCTGCGCGGTGGCCAGCTGCTGAGCCAGCTCCGACTGGCCGGACTCGGTGGCAGTGCGTGCGGCGGCCAGCTCGGCCTGCGCGGTGGCCAGCTGCTGAGCCAGCGCCGCCTGGCCGGACTCGGCCGAGGCGCGCGCCTCGGCCAGCTCGGCCTGCGCACTGGCCAGCTCCGCCTGGGCGGCGGCCAACGCCTGGGCAAGCTCCGCCCGAGCGACATCGGCCGAGGAGTGGGCGGCAGCCAGCTCGGTGTGCGTCGTGGCGGCGACGGCGCGAGCGTCCGCCAACTCGGCCTGGGCACCGGCCAGCTCGACTTGCGCGGTGGACAATTCGTCCTGCATGCCGGCCAGCCGCTGAGCCAGATCCGAGTGGCCGGCCTCGGCCGATTGGCGAACTTGCGCCAGCTCCGACCGGGCGGCATCCAGCTGCCGGACCAGGTCCGCCTGGCTTTCCTCGATCGAGGACTTGGCGGCGGCCAGCTCGGCACGCGAGGCGTCGACATCGGCGCGGGCGCTGGCCAGCTCGGCCTGCGTGGTGGCCAGCGTCTGGGCCAACGCCGTGTGGCCGGCCTCGGTGGACGCGCGAGCGGCGGCCAGTTCGAGCTGGGCACTCTCCGCGGCCGACCGAGCCTCGCTGAGCTGCTGAGCCAAGTCCGACTGGCCGGCCTCGGCGGAAGAACGCACCGACGCCAGCTCGGCCTGTGCGGTGGCCAGCTCGGCCTGGACGGCGGCCAGCTCGGCCTGCGTGGCCTCCGAGCTGGCCCGCGCATCGGCCAAGCCGCGAGTTGCGGCGTCGAGTTCGGCCTGCGTGGCATCACGCGCGGCAGCCAACTCGCGCTCCAGAGCAGCAACCTGCGCACGCAGGGCATCCACCTCCTGGCCGGAGGAGGAGGCCTGCTCCACCAGTGCCAGCAGGGGCGATGCATGGGACTGCGGCTGGCCGCTGGCGGCCTCTTCCTCCAGCTCATGGACGCGCTCCTCCAGCTGGCCCACCAGGTCGGAAAGACGCCCATGGTCGCGCAGACGCCGGGCCGCGGCGTCCGCCAGGCCCGGATCCTCGGGGGCCAGGCCGAGGGGGTCCGCCAGGGCGGCCAGCTGCTGCCGCAGCCGGCTCACCTCAGCCTGCAGATCACCAACCTGGGAAATGCGGGATGATATCGTGTGTGTGTGTGTGTGTGAGCGTTGATGGAAGGGCGAGCAGGCGTAAGACAGGGGGCACATTTGGAAGCATGTTGGGCAGGTGGCCTGGAGAGAGGGATCCAGGGAGATGGGAAAAGCACGAGGACTGGAGACTGCAAACGGGAAAGAGGACGGAGCATACCTCCGCGCCGGGAGCAGATGCAGGGCCCGGCTCAGCGAGCAGCTTCCGAATGGCCGAGGCAACTGGTGCGAGGGGGGGGGGGGGGGGGGCAAAGAGGACGGAGCATACCTCCGCGCCGGGAGCAGATGCAGGGCCCGGCTCAGCGAGCAGCTTCCGAATGGCCGAGGCAACTGGTGCGACGTCAGACGAGTGGTGCGCGCCGCCCACAAGAAAGACACACGGCCCAGGGTGTTAGTGACGGCAAATGCGACAGGGAGGGGGAGGGGGAGGAGGGGGGGGCATCGGGACGAGCCTGAAGCCGGGGGCGGAGAGACAGGGCAAAGGGAAGACCCACCAGTGTCAGCAGTGAGGGGCATGGCAGTCGTGTCGCCATCCGACAGGAAGGCACTCTCGTCGAGGAAGTCCGCATCGTCATCCCAGCCGGAGGCCGAGGGGAAGGGATTGGCCGGGCGCGTGGCCGCGTCGGTGGAAGCAGCCACAGGCAAATGCGCGCTCAGCTCCGGCACCAAGGCAAGCAAGGCCTGCGCGTCAAGTGGGGCACCGGTGGCTGTGTCGGCGGCGGGGCCTCCCGGCCGGCCCTCAAGCTGCTCGCGTAAGGACCGGAGGTCATTCTGACCGGCGAGGAGCGAGGCGCAACAGGACAGATGGATGTGATCTGGGCGTGAGGGGGACTGGCAGAGGGAGGGAGCAAGCAGGCATGGCGGAGGCACGGACGAACCTCCAGGATGGCATTCTTGCTGGTCGACATATTGAGCATGGACTCGGTCTCGGCCAGCTTGGCCGCAAAAAGGTCACTTGATGAATCTGCCGGGCCCGGGGGGGGAGGGGGGGGGGCGGAGGAACCGGAGGAGAAACGCGAGGGTCAGCGCTCCGGCTGGCAAGGAGCCGCGCAAGGGGCCGCGCCATGCGCCTGAAGGGCCAAGTGGGAGGGGAAAAAAGCACACAGACGGCCGCACCGATCATCTTCTGCAAACTGTCATTCTTCTGGGTGAGCTTCTCACGCTCGGACTCCAGCCGAGCCAGGCGCTCGGTCAGGTCGGCCACAACACCGGCACCCGGGGACCCCGAGGAGAACTGCGCCGAGTCAGTACCCGTCCCTGGGTCAGCAAAGAAAGCCGGCGAAGCCAACACACCTGGTCCACCTGGCGCTGGAGCTCATCAATGGTTTCCTTCTGTTGGTCGATCTTGGATTGGGCCTTACGCTGTCGACGTTCAGCGATGATGGAGGCGCGCATCGGGCGGGCCGGCGAGCAGGCAGCAGTCAGAGGGCGGAGCAACAGCTAGGCCGGGAAGGAAGCAGCCAGGGAGAGGGACAGAGGCGGGGGGGGGGGGGGGGGGGGGGGGGCCGGAAAAGTAGTGCTCGTGGGCATACCCGCAGCTTGTTGTAGGCGAGGGTCAGCTCGCGCAGCTTGGCCGGCGTCGCATCCTGCCCGGGGGTCTGTGTGTGCGTCAGATGGGTCAGAGTCAGTGGCACGTGCGGGGGGGGGGGGGGGGGGAGGCAAGCAGGACGCACCGCGGGCGGGCCCCCGACCGGTTGGTCGTCTGCCAGCTCCGGGCTACCCATCAGTGAGTCGGGCTCGGTCGAGGAACCGAAGTCAGCCGTGCGGGGGACGGCGGGCTCGGTCATGCTCAAGCGCGCCGGCCGGGCTTCACGAGCGGGCTTGGGAAGGGGGAGAGGGGGGGAGAGAGAGAGAGGAAGAGAGGGAGGGAGGGAAAGGGGGGCCCTGGAATGTGGCGTGTTGCGGCGAGGAAGGAGGATGGGCGAAGGCCAGGAGGGAAAAGGAGGACGAGGGTGCTGGGTGATGGATCTGCCGGCAGGCCGAGGATCTCTCACTGAGAGTACCTGCTCAAGAGAGCAGGCGCAGGATCCGACATTAACTTTGGCCGACAAGATTGCTCATCCTGCGGCGGGCCTGTGCATGTTCCAACCCGCACATTCCCCCGCCCCCGCTCCACACACACACACATACACACACACACACACACATACCAGAATGGGCGAGCGGAGGATTCTGACTAGTGCGCGGGGGGCAGGCAGACAGGAGGGACGGCAAATCGAAGCATGGGGGTCTACACCGGCCATCGCCGGGAGAAACCCACTCCTGAGAGGGGATGGCGCCCGGCATCCGGGTCCCGAGGGGGCCCGGTCCCCCCGGGAAAGGGGAGGAGGGGGGGGGGGGGGGGGGGGGGGGGGGGGGGGGGGGATACACTTTCAATTGAAGGCACAGCGGAGCCAAGCCCAACAAGAGACCGGGGGAGGGGGGCGAGGCGGGAGGGACTGTTTGACACGCCATGCAATTTTCACTTGTCCGGGTCATGTGCGCCCGGGCCAAAAAACCGGCGTGATCGGCCAGAGCGAAGCCGAATTTTGCCCGCCCTCCCCACGAGCGCGTCCCGACCGGCGGGGGCTGTTGACCCCTCGAGAGCCGGGGGCCTGCGGCGGACGGGCGTGGAGGGATTCGAGCAACAGAAAAAAACAATGGGACCGCCGCCCCAGCCAGCGCCTCGGGTGGGGGCGTGTGCATGCCGGGGGGTCCCCCGGTCCGGCCGGCCCCGCCAACACCTTCCCCGCCCAGGGCCCGGCGGCGCCCGGCCGATCTGCCTCGGGGGGCGGTGATCAGCGCCCCGGCCTCGAGCAGGCGCGTCGGCACCGCGATGCGAGCGGCGGCGTGCCGGAAACCCCATCGGCAACCTGGCCGCCCTCGGCGGCCGAGGCTTCACAGCAGACTCCCCCCGCCCCTCCTC